ACAAAAGCCTTTAGTCTAGATGTACCCTTAGGGAGATTCCTGAAGCTAAAACTGCATCTTCTCCTCATTATCTCTTGTATGCTTCATTAAGGCCCTATATCTTCCAGTATAGTTGTATTCAAAATATGTGGTTACTGTAGGACAAAATAAAAAATAGAGACAGAATTCTGCTTCTTTTTGTGATGGGAGAGGGAAACTCCCATTTAAATCAATATGATCCACATAAACCTGCTAAAGAGCAGTTGGAGATTACATCCATGTAACAAAAGGTAGAATTAGACCTTTTTGCTTTATATATGACCAATGTATAAACTGTCTGAATGAGAAACCTGAAGTAACTTTAGATAATTTTTTATGAATGAAGAATAGATTTTAAGTCTATAGTATAATCACTTTATAGACCCAACTTTGTGTGTCTAGAATTGAGAATGCAATGTTTGCTGGGTCCTCAAACGTAATCTGTACCAATCAAACTAGTGAGTACCTTTTTCTTATGCAATGTTGCTACCAGGCTGGTAGGAAAATAAATGCTTGATTGAAATGTGAAGCAATGAATCTAAGTGTTATTTATGTTGACTGCTTTCATTTCCCACCAGATATCTATGGGAAAAGCAGACCTGGCAAGATTCAGACAAGTCTGTTGTTGTTCTACATGGAGGGCTAATGTGGCATTACTTGTTGAAGATGAGACATTGAGCATCGTTATAGGGTTGGGAAAAGTTGCAAAACAAAACAAAAACAAAAAAAAGCAGCAGCAAAGTGATTTTTCCCCAAAGTCTGACTAGACATCATATGTTCATGTAATTTCAGGGAAATCCAGGAACTGTGGGCCCAGAAGGAAGTCGTGGCAATCCTGGAATTGGAGGAAATAAAGTAGGTTTCATTTCTTTAGCTACTTTTGTTGTTTCTAAAAGTTCATTTGTTTATTCCTAACTGAAGATAAGATTTTGTCGTTGAACATGATCCTGAAACAATCATTTGGGCAAAACTAAATGAAAATTTTACCAGAGTAAGGACCGTAGGTTTTTTTACTTCAGTGTCAGCTGTATGCTCTGTTCAAGAACAGTGCATAGTCCTAAATAATTAAGTTTCACTTTTTATATTCATTAAACCTTTAGATTGCAGCTTGTATAGTAACGCGTTGGCTGGAGAGATTTTTCAGTCCTTGTGGTTTAAAAAAAATTGTATTCACAAGTGTTGAGATCATTTTAATTGCGTTTAACAGGGAGAACCTGGTGATCCCGGACAGAAAGGACCGAGAGGACCATCAGGTCAATGGGGGACGCAGGTTTGTATTTTATTCTCTTGATGTGCAGAGAGTGGCCAACATGAAGTCCTTAGTTTATAAATCACCTGTCCAGTTGCTTCTCTCTGTCCTCAGGCATTTGGGTTTCTATATAGACAAATAAAATAATATAGACATTAATAGCTGGAGTATAGCACAGTCAGAGAAAGTAGATGATTTTAAATGCAATGGTCTGTTCACAGGGAGAAAATGGCAATGTTGGATATGGTCGACCAGGAAAGAGAGGAGCAAAGGTAAACACAATTTACCTGGGTTCAGGAGCTCAGGAGAGGAATACAATCAGATTATATATCCTTCCATAGATATATTTATATAGTTCATATCTGTTTTACAGTCAAATGTACATCTACTGTCGTTATTTACAAATGAAATTAGGGGAAGAATTCTGTCTGACTAAAAATAATCATAGAATAGGTCTAATTTACTCCAAAAAATGCTCCCAGTATTGTTTCCAATCCTCTTTGAACTGTAAGGCCTCATATTTTGACATATCAAATTTTTCTGTCATCTAGCCCCTCCTGTGCCTTTCAAGGACAATGACCAATCTTCCACTGACTTCACTAGTAGCAGTCTCAAGCTTCAAAAACTAATATGTATTATTATTTTATTATTACAATGCCTAGAGCCCCTGGCCAGGATCAGACCATTGTTCTAGGTTGTGAACAAATGAGTAAACCAAAGAAAGTTCTTGTCCCCAAAATGGGACCCAGCTAGGATTATGTCCAGATTGAACAGACAAAGGGGCGTGAGGCAGGGTGTGGAGCACGTTAGCGGTAAAGATCGTTTATTTATGCAAAGGAACCATCTCAGTGCTCACGGTTGTCACAGATGCCTGCTCACTGTCTGACTCTTATCTGCTTTCAGGAAAGATCAGTAAAACTTCCCTGGAGTATTTTGTCTTTAGAGTCACTTCCTTTTCATTAATCAGTGCAATTAGGAGCACATTGCTTGGACATCCTAGTAAAGTACACTGCTTCTTTATGTATATTTAAAATGATACATGCCTGAGCTCAATAAAATAAGGAGGAACAGAGAGCTTTTCAAAAGCTTTTTGTCTTTCTTGCCAGACTCCCTGGACTTCTGCATGCATGTCTTTTAACTTCACCTTAAAACTCCCTTTTTCTGGCAAGACCATCAAGATTAATCCACTTTAATAACATGTTGTTACACCCCAGCTGTACCTCTCCCAAGATGCGATGTGCATCCTGCCCCCTCCCTGTCCCCCACCCCGCAGAGGCCCTTACCTGCACCCCCTTCCTAAGAAGCATCAGTTACTTCTGACTCTGCCCCACAAAATACTTGCTACATTCTAAGGACTTCGCCAAGAAAGGTGCTTTTATTGGGGATTTAGGGCAGGCAGCTCATTGCAAGGTCAGGTTCTAAACTTCCTGGGCTGCAGATGCATTTTGGATGCAGTGCAACTCCCATTAAAATCAACAGCTGTCTTTTCATCGATTCTATCAGGAGTTGGATTGGGCCTTTTTTGCACAAATTGTTTCATTCTGCTTAAATTATAAGCTTCTTGCATAAGGGACTGTGTCAGCTTTTGCATTTTGTACAATCCATGTTAGCATCTCAGAAACAGTAGCTAGCAATAGTAACATGGTCTCCTGCTCATTGCCAGTTTCAGTATTTATTACAGCAGTGATTTTTGAAAAGCCAAATAGAGTAGAAAAAACTAAGTAAAAATATAATTGTGATGATAATTCTAACAGGGACAAGATGGATTCCCAGGAGAGACTGGACTCAAGGTATTCTACTTCACATTAATGTTGTCGCTTTCTGATCAGTGGACTTGACTCTCCATGCTCCACAACACCACTTTTGCCTTAACAGCACTGTGCTACAGTTATAGTATGTTTGCATAAAATCGGGATAACAAAGTGGAGTCTGTAAGGATGGCAATAAGTTTCAATAATACACTTTTGCTAGAAAAAGAAAAGTAACATTCTTCGTCTTTCATGGGAAGAAAGTCCTGATTTATCTGTCAACATCTTGTACTGAAATTCTTTGTGATACTAAAGCACTACAAAGATTTTTCTTCTGTCTGATCGCCTTACTGCCTGGAGATTTTTAACAGTTTTTTTTTAATTTATCACTTTTAATTATTGTGTGTCATTTCTGAAGTTCTTGCTAGAGTCAAATCTTATTTAGAGATGTGCTAGAAAAGCCTCTGGGAACATGATTCTCCAAATTAGGAATAGACAAGTGTTGTGTCTGCCAATGTAGGTGTATGTGTCCCACTTCTTCCTGTAATTAATGTGGAGCTGGAAGCAGACGGTGTCAGCAGTTACAAAGAACAGTTATCCAAACAAAGTTCTAGAAAAAATTCCCATGCACTTTTGCATTTTGTTTTGTAGTGCTGTGTGTGATATAGTCCATTGAAGCTATGTATATGAAAAATGCATGATTAACAAGTCTTGTTCTGTGCACACATGAAATATGACATCAGTGTGTTTTGCATAAGTGATGGTGAAAATATGCTGGTATGTATTTATATATAGATCAACTTGAATAGGCTTGGCAGAATACCTTTTTATTTATGATAATTTCCATTGATCATATCAGTGGTTATTTTAAAAGCATTTTCGTTCAATTTGTTTTGTTTTTTTCAATTTGAATTTTCACAGTTGTAAGAGATTAAAGGGAATCAGAAAAAATAATTAAATAACAGCAGAGACCAATTTAAAAAAAGTTTTATAACCATTAAAACACCAATTGTCAACATCATATGTAAAAATGTGTAAATAGCCTTAAATCAAATTCTAGTTCATTCATAAGCAGCATTACTTTATCTATCTTGTAAATTCCTGTTATTATTGATAGAAATGTTTTTCTAGTCAGTTTGTAGGTGTTTATAGAAATTGATGTTTACCAACATTTACTTGTAAAAATCAAATCCTTCCAAGTTATGGAGATATTATTTGGTGCAAAGACAGGCTGAGGTGGCAGAGGGTCAGTGTTTAGGACCATTAGGTGTTAACAAAAAAATCAAAGGTAGAGTGTTGGCAAACATTTCTATGTGGAAAGAATGCGAACGTAAAAATTCCCCGCTGACGTCACAAAACGTTCACTTTCTAAAACAATCATTTTATGGGGTATGAGTGAAAGAGACCACACACAGTGCTACTTGTATGTGTATGTGTTTTCATAGATGCCGATTTCATGCCAGTCTCTGTGCTCTTAAAAGTGAGATGTATGAATGGAAGAAATAAAGAGCAATAGCCATTTCTTGAGTTCACATTTTTGTTTTAACGTAATAGCCATTTTCACATTTTAATTTTTCTGTATCTGACTAATTAGGGTGAAATTGGAGATGCAGGCATTTCAGGAGAACCTGGGCCAAAAGGGTCAAGAGGAAAAATGGTAAGAACACTTTTGTAGTCTTTTATGATTATTGATTTGTCTTGAGGTTGGCTTGTTCGTGCAAAAATCCCCTGTCATTTTACCTGCCCAAGTGGTAGAAATCTATTTTAATTGATGTCAGGTATCAGAGGGGTAGACGTTTTAGTCTGGATCTGCAAAAGTGACAAGGAGTCCTGTAGCACCTAAGGTGCTTTTATTTTAATTGGGTATCTTTTACCATGCTGAATTTATGTGCATTACATTGCTTGGAAGCACAATAGTCCAGATCCTGCACTCTGATGCAACTGCTTTGTGCACACTAGCCCATCTAAAACAGGTATAGCCAGCTATGGGAGATCAACCTAGTGCAAGAGGTGGCCTTTGGTGGCCTATGGTTTGACGCCATGGCTGTCTCTTCACTACAGTGTAACGGACCACTGCCTTGAATGGGTCCCTTACAATTTGTGCTGTTTATGCTAAATAATATGTTCTACCTTGCATTTTTCTGTGATGCTGGGAGTACTTTCCTCAGACCTGAAGAACTTTGTGTGACTTGAAAGCTTTTCCCTCTCACCAGCTGAAGATGGTCCAATAAAAGATATTACATCACCCACCTCATCTCTATTTGGCTTTGGCCACTGTCAGAAGAAACAGTATTGTGCTAGAGGAACTATTGCTCTGACCCAGAATGGCCATTTTTATGACCAATGGAAGACTGATGTAGCACAGAGCTGGCTCCAAGTCAGGGAAACAAAGTCTAATTATTTTATAGAAATACTGTGGATAGCTGATGTTACAGGGAAGTTGGAGGAGTAGACGGGGTATATTTTTGTTGCTGATTTTACTGGCTGAAATATTAACATTTCTTATTATATTATGCTCCTTATAAACAGTAAGTTTAATTTTTTTCAGGGTTCCTAAAGCTCATATACATGATTTTTATCTTTTACATTGTAATCACGAATGAGTTACTTCATAGTTGCTAGTTTGAAGGAGTCTAATAGTTAACCAAGTCTTCCTCCTTTAATAGTCTAAGGTAAACAAAACACTTATTTTGGCATAATTGTTTCCTGTTTAATTGTGTTTTTAGCTCCTCCGACAAAGGAAAGGAAAAGTCATCATAGTTTTGGTTTTGTACTATAAGTTAGTCATGCACATTGCTATTCTTTTGCAACTCTTATTTTTGTAGTTTACCATGAAGAAACAGAGTCACAGAGAAGTTAGGTGACATTTGTAAACATTACACAAAGAGTCCATAGTAGAGGTATGAGTAGAATCCCTATCTCCTGAGTCACTGTGCAGTAGGCATAGATTGCATTCAGCTGGACTGCACAAAGAAAAGTGATAGTGTACTGACAGCCTGCCCATTTTTTTTCTTTTAAAAATGTTAATAAGTAAAAATATATAGTTCCCATCTCACCCAACTATACATAAAGAATATATGTACTACAGACCGGTCAGTTTAACGTCTGTCCCAGGGAAGATAATGGAGCAGGCAATTAAGGAAATCATATGCAAACACTTGGAAGGTAATAAAGTGATAGGGAATAGCCAGCATGGGTTTGTGAAGAACAAGTCATGCCAAACTAATCTGATAGCTTTCTTTGATAGGATAACAAGCCTTGTGGATAAGGGAGAAGCAGTGGATGTCATATACCTAGACTTTAGTAAGGCATTTGATACGGTCTCGCATGATATTCTTATTGATAAACTAGGCAAATGTAACTTAGATAGGGCCATGATAAGGTGGGTGCATAATTGGCTGGATAACCGTAGTCAGAGAGTTGTTGTTAACGGTTCTAAATCCTGCTGGAAAGGGATAACAAGTGGAGTTCCTCAAGGGTCTGTTTTGGGACCCGTACTGTTCAATATCTTCATCAATGATGTAGATGTTGGGATAGAGAGTACGCTTATTAAGTTTGCAGATGATACCAAACTGGGTGGGGTTGCAACTTCTTTGGAGGATAGGGACATAATTCAAAATGACCTTAGCAAGTTAGAGAAATGGTCAGAGGTAAACAGGATGAGGTTTAATAAAGAGAAATGCAAAGTGCTCCACTTAGGAAGGAACAATCAGTTCCATACGTACAAGATGGGAAGCGACTGTCTAGGAAGGAGCATGGCGGAAAGGGATCTAGGGGTCATAGTGGACCACAAGTTGAATATGAGTCAACAGTGTGATGCTGTTGCAAAAAAAGCAAATATGATTCTAAGTTGTATCAACAGGTGTGTTGTAAGCAAAACTCGTGAAGTCATTCTGCCGCTCTACTCTGCACTAGTTAGGCCTCAGCTGGAGTACTGTGTCCAGTTCTGGGCGCCACATTTCAAGAAAGATGTGGAGAAATTGGAAAGGGTACAGAGAAGAGCGACAAGAATGATTAAAGGTTTAGAGAACATGACCTATGAAGCCAGGCTTCATGAACTGGGCTTGTTTAGTTTGGAAAAAAGAAGATTAAGGGGGGACATGCTAGCGGTTTTCAAATATCTTAAAGGGTGTCACAAGGAGGAAGGAGAAAATTTGTTCCTCTTGGTTTCTGAGGACAGAACAAGGAGTAATGGGCTTAAAGTGCAGCAGGGGAGGTTTAGATTGGACATTAGGAAAAAATTCCTAACTGTCAGGGTGGTCAAATATTGGAATAAATTGCCAAGGGAGGTGGTGGAATCTCCCTCTCTGGAGATATTTAAGAACAGGTTAGATAGACATCTGTCAGGGATGGTGTAGACGGAGCTTGGTCCTGCCTTGAGGGCGGGGGGCTGGACTCGATGACCTCTTCAGGTCCCTTCCAGTCCTATTATTCTATGATTCTATGATTCACTGAATTGAATAGCGTTAAAGTGGTATAAAGCATTAATGGGATGGAGAACTGGGCCCTAGAACAGAGAAATACACAATACTACCAGAATGCTGTATAAACCATTTGTAGATTGTAATTTATGTCACTGTTTCCAGGGTGTTGCAGGTTTTCCTGGTGAGAAGGGTATCCCAGGAGGCCCGGGACCTCAGGGACGCAGGGTATGAATTGACTACATAAATTTATGTAATTTTTTTTGCATAAAAGGGTACTTACTTTAAATTTGAAGATAGGGGTGAGTGATTATTTTCCTGTCTCAGGATACACCATATGGCTATGTCTACACTCGCGGCTTCTTGCGTGAGAAATATGCAAATGAGGCTAAGCGTGGAATATTGCTGAGCCTCATTTGCATTCCAAATGAGCCACCATTTTTGCAGAAGAGGCTCTTGTGCCAGAAAGAGCTATGTACAGTGCCCCTTTTTGCGCAAGAAAAACCCTCTTGCACAATGCTGCTACGCTCACGTTCTGGGGTGTCAAAGATAGATATATGCTGCTTGATTGTCACTTTGAAAATGCTAATAATGTATATTTGCTAGCAATATGAAAATAAATGTGTGAGTCTGCATGTATATCATATTATCTTCCCATACTTTGAACCAAAATACTGAAAAAAGGTCCAAAGTTCATGCGTGTAATTCCAGTCTGCGTTTTCATATTATGCAACTGAGAGTACAAATCAGGTATTTGTACATGCAAATTTGTACATACTGTTTAGACCCCAAATCTAATTTTATATGCAATTTTAGGCAACTATTTCAATGCCTAATTGTACTTAAAACATAATTGCACCTTTTTCATTTGGACCTTAGTTCTCTCCTGAAAATTGGCAATTAAAGAACAAGACATTTGCATTCTGTGAGTTGCAATATTTTTAAAAAATTAGGAAAATATATCTAGTTTTTGGATTTTTTTCTATCCATGTCAGATGTTTGCAACTTGCTGTTTTCTGACTCCAGCTAGTCATTAATACGCTCACATTCTGGGGTGTCAAAGATAGATATAGGTTCTTGATTGTCACTTTGAAAATGCTAATTATGTATGTTTGCTAGCAGTATGAAATAAATGTGTGAGTCTGCATGTATATCATATTATCTTCCCATACTTTGAACCAAAATACTGAAAAAAGGTCCAAAGTTCATGCGTGTAATTGCATGTTTGAATTTTCAAATTATGCAGCTGAGACTACAAATCAGTTATTTGTACACGAAAATTTGTACATACTATTTAGAAGCCCAAATCTAATTTTATATGCAATTAGGAACATATATCTGTTTTTTGGAATTTTTCTATCCTTTTCAGATGTTTGCAACTTGCTGTTTTCAGGCTGGAATTCAAAGATCCCAATAGAAGAGATCTGAGATTTCACTCCTGTCAAATTGAATCTGGACTCCACTCTTGTTTGCAGTCATTACTGCTGCTTCTGCCCAGAAGCGTCATACAAGGATAGATTAGACTGACGTTTAGGAGCAGCAACATAACATCTGATTTTCAAAGGTGTTGAGCACTTGAATTCAAATATATATAATATATATAATTCTTCTTTCTGTCCCTAAACCCTACTAAAATAAAATAACTCTCCATGTTCCTTTTTGGATATCATGATCTCAACATTTGGAACTTAAATTGCTACAATAACACAGTGCATATTAAATTAAAAGAGCTAAAACACACAATACAGTCAGGTCTTGTTTTACAGGTTATCCTTGCAATTTAATTACTATAATTATCCTTTTAATTGAAAACGTTCAATTATACAGTAATCTATAATCTTGTGCTTCTAGGGTCAGAAAGGAACGATGGGACTCAACCCTTTTCAAGTATGTATCTCTGGCTTATTCTATATTAAATGTATATTTAGAAATAGCCCACTTCATCAGCAAAATATTCCTTTCCTTGTCCATGTTTTGTTTCTGTTCTGCAGCCATGTGAGCTCATTGACTACCTGCGCAAAAACAGCCGTAAGTACTATATCTTGCTTTATAGAATTCCATCACCAAAGGGCCAGCACTTGAAATGATATTTTAGGGTAAGAAAATTAAGGGGTGTAGGGAGGAGGGGTTTAGATTTATTAGGAACTGGAGACACTTTTGGGAGAGAGGGAGCCCATACAGGAAGGATGGGCTCCATCTAAACCAAGATGGATCCAGGCTGCTAGCACTAAACATTAAAAAGGTTGTAGAGCAGTTTTTAAACTAAGAGATGGGGGAAAGCCGATTGGTGCAGAGGAGCACGTGGATCAGATGGAGACTTCTCTTAGAGGAGAGTCCATTGATGGAGATTCTGTAGGTTTCAGTCAGAAAGAGAAGGGGAGATGATAAAGTATGGGCCAGATCAGATAAGAAACAATCACATATATAAAAATCTAATACATCAGGGAAGGGCAGACAAATAAACAGTGGCAATTTTTTAAAGTGCTTCTACACAAATGCTAGAAGTCTAAATAATAAGATGGGTGAACTAGAGTAACTTGTATTAAAGGAGGAGATTGACATAATACGAATCACAGAAACCTGGTGGAATGTGCACAATCAGTGGGACACAATCATACCGGGATATAAAATATATTGGAAGGACAGAATAGGTCATGTGGGTGAAGGAGTGGCACTGTATGTGACAGATAATGTAGAATCAAATGAAGTAAAAATATTAAATGAATCAACAAATGTTCCATATAATCACTATGGATAGTAATTCCATGCTCTAATAAGAATATAGCAGTAGGGATCTATTATCGACCACCTGACCAGGACAGTGATAGTGATGTTGAAATGCTAAGAGAGATTAGAGAGGCTATCAAAATAAAAAACTCAATAATAATGGGGGTTTCAATTATCCCCATATTGATTGGTACATGTCACCTCAGGACGAGATGCAGAGATAAAATTTCTTGATACCTTAAATGATTGCAGCTGGTACAGGAACCCACAAGGGGAGAGGCAATTCTCTGTTTGTCAAAGGCTGGAGAAGGGTGGCAGGAGACAAATCACTTGATCATTGTCTTCAGTTCACCCCCTCTGGGGCACCTAGCACTGGCCACTGTTGGCAGACAGGATACTGGGCTAAATGGACCTTTATTCACTTATTTTTCAATTTACAGATTTAGCTGCTATTTACATGTAAAAGAGGGAGTAACAGTTTGGCAAGTAAACCATATTAATTTCAGAAAGAGGAGTTTTTTTCTCTCACAGATCCATTTAGCTATGTTTGTACAATATACTGAATGAATTGGTAAACGTCTGTTGATTCTCCTAGCAATCAGTGGGTAACCCTGCATGATCATTTCTAACATGCATCTGATTTCCTTTGAAAGTCCACAAATTGTGAAAGAAGCCAAAAACTCCTTTTGAAATAAAATACTATATTAAATAGCAATAGCTGTTACAGAGAATTGTTCCCTTTGTTGTGCCTACAATAGCCTTGATGGAAATTAGGTGCTGGGGCACTTGGAAAGTGCTAGTGTTGATTGGAATAATGAAGATGCCCTGAGTTTCCTTAAAGGAAGATAAGTGGGCAAATGATTTACATAAAATAATGTACATCGTAAATGCAACTTATGGACAGCTTATGGACCCTTACTCCTGTGACAAATCTTGATTTTCAGTGAAAGTTCAGCTAACCTGGGCTAAACAGAAAATATTTGGGTGAGCATTAGAATATTTCAGTCCAATGTCTTGAACCATGGAATTTGCTGAAACAGAAACTCAAGTGTTTAGATAATTTACTGAGTTCTATCTATTTCTTAAACTCTGTTAGAAACCAGACACATACAGTAGGAACATGCAATGCGTATTAAGGGAATTCCATGTGCACTCAATAATTTCCACTGAAACTAAAGAGTGTTTTGCATTCTCAGAGAATTCTGTAAAATTATAGGTGGGCAATTCGTGATGCTAACAGTTTTCTTTTTCAAAGATATTTTAGGGCTGTTTTAAAAACATGCTGTATAATAATTTTCTCCCTTTTTTTATTTAGCTTGTTGGCAGGGTAAGTACTTTTTATCATTATATTGTTTGAACCAAAATCTTAAAATGTATCTGTGTGTCTGGGAAAGGTGGTTTAGATCAGTGGTGCGCAAGCTTTTTCCTGGCACAGCCCTCTGGGAAAATTTAGGTTGAGAAAAAAAATAGTGCGGCCCCTTTAAATGCCACTCCGCTCTCCTGCCACTCACCCTGCCCCCGCTGTGTGTATGCTGAGCCAGGGGGAAAAATGGTGACCGGCCCAGTGCTGCAACCTCCCCGGAAAACAGCCAGAACCCCCTCAGGGGTCGCAACTCATGGGTTCCACACTGCTGATTTAGATAAAGACCTCACTTTAATACTGTTCCAGTTCTGATCTAGCATTGCACTTTTTTAAGCTCCTCACCTGCTTGTAAATCAGCTCCTGTCTGTGGATAATTTAAGCTGAACAACTGAAGCTCTGCAATTCCATAAAGAGAGCATGCCACTTGTTCCTTGCTCATCATATCACTACGTCTTAATTCTGTCAGACTTTTCTTCCACTTGGCATTCCCTTCTGCTTTATTTACTCATTGATAGCTACCCCTGAGCTTGCTGAACTAATGCAGATTTGAAAGTAAATATTAACCTGTTCTACCTCTTTTTTTTCACTTCAGGAAAGCTAGTGCTGATTATGTGAATCCCCATCGCCTAATATTGTATCAGCAGAGTTCTATAACTAGATAAGACAATGTACACTAGAATTCAGTTGATCCCTGTCAATCTTGATATTTTGTTCAGGCAGCAAGATTTTGCAAAAAAGGGGCCACTTTTGCACTAAATCTTGCCAGTCTAGATGCAGCCCTTGTGTTTCTCTTTTCTCATAAGTTTATCTTATGTGTAGGTGCCATCTAGGTCCTCTTTTATGGCCCTTACAATGAGATTAGGTTACAGTTTGCTTTCTGTTCACTAGCTTTATTTTCAGCTCTGTCTTTTCTAACACCACATGTCTCTACCATTGGGAGTCACTAAACATACTGAAACGTTAATCATAGAAGTACTTCATGCTTTGCTAAGGTTTAGTGTTGCATTTCAGTAAAGTACAGTTGACATGGTAGACCCCATTGTGCCTGATGAGCATGGACCTGAGGGTGATATAGAACTATGTTACCACAGGAAGTGCTCCAAGAGTGATTGTGCCTCTGGAAACACAATCCTTTCTGGACAGGAAGGGTAATGCTCCATAATCCCTCTCTGCACTCAATCAGTTTTGCAAGCCTGTATATGGGATGGAAGGAGACATAACATTGATTTTGGTTTCTTCCTACCCCTCTTTTTTCCTCCCCCATTCGAAGGAGTACAGGGACTACAGTTGTGTCCCCCAATTCCACTCTTCAGTGCAGTGTCTTAAAAAATCTCATTGCATTCATGAACTATAGCCCAGCACCATTTGACCTTGTATCATTTTCTGTAGAGTGAATCCGTAGATAGCATCATGTTGCATGCTATCTAGGGAAAGCAACATTAAATAGTTATTAGTTACTTGAAAATAGCTTGCATTTTTTTTTATCTTCTGTGATGTTTATAACAACTGTTTTATGTTCTAGGAAAACCAGAATGTCCAGTGTATCCAACAGAACTAGTGTTTGCTTTGGACATATCCCAGGATGTCACATCCCAGTTATTTGAAAGAATGAGAGAAATTGTAACATCAGTAGTGAATCACACCAAAATTAGGGAAAGCAACTGCCCCGTGGGAGCCAGAGTCGCTATTGTATCCTACAATTCCAATATCCATTATCTGATCCGCTTCTCTGAGTTCTACAGTAAGAACCAGCTCCTTACCAAAATTAAAAATCTGGCTTATGAGAGGTCTTCAAGTGAACGGAATATTGTCAATGCAATGAGATTTGTTGCCAAGCATATTTTCAAACGAACTCTCCCAAGTCCTAATGTCAGAAAAATAGCAGTGTTTTTCAGCAATGGGCCATCTGTAAATGAAGTGGCTGTTAACACAGCAGTTCTAGAGTACAGTGCATTTGATATTGTTCCAGTGGTTATTGCTTTTAATGATGTGCCCATCATCAGAAGTGCTTTCATGGTAAGAAAACCACTAACATTTTCTTTTTGATGTTCAGCAATAAGACTTTGTATTTCACAGCCTTCAAAACATAGTGGGGTCACATTCAACTTTTGGTGTAACTCCATTGTCTTCAGCGGAGTTACAGCCAGAAAGAACTGGCCCACAGTATTAGTGGTTTGTAATCATATATGGGACCAAATCCTGCAGTACTTCCATGAATAGTCCTTAATAATGCTAGTGATTCCATTCAAGTTAGTACACAAACTTGTATAAGGATTGTGCATCCTGTAAGATTCTTAATCAGCGTATTCAATAAATTCAGGAAAACCTGGCCTGATTCTCCACTGGCTTACACCTTATATTGTCTGTCGTTTACCACTGTGCAAAATGCAGAATGACAGTAAAACTACCAAACCAGTGTGGGGGTGTTTTCCACTCACTGTGCATCGGGAAGGTGGAGCGTAAAAGATGATTACACAATGGGCAAAGCAGTGGAGAATCATTACTGTGTGGTAGCTTGCAGAGATATCACTGACTACATAATCTAAAAATAGCAGAGTTGCAATTGTAGCTGGGGGTTTTGTTTGGCCTGCTGAATCTTGATTACTGTTGATGTGTGAAATGGAAAGAACCCAAGTTGACTGTCAACAACCAAATTGAGTTGGCGGGGGGAGGAGGTGTCAGACTGAAAAAGTATCTTTAATGCTGACTGTGCAAACTTGGTATGAAAATCATCAAGGGACACTGAATATGGAGAGCCATACATGAGTAGTTATCTTTAGGGTGGCAGAGACATTTAAGCTTAGATTTCCCAACAAAAAATATCAAAGAGCGGATCAGTGCAGTCTGCATAGTTTTAGGGTCAATTGCTTTTAGGTTACAGTATTTTTATTCTTATTTTAAGAATATGTCATGCTTCATAAATATGTCAGTCTCTCAAATCAGTGTTGGCTAAAAATACAAATTACAGAAAGTGAGCACAGGATTTTTTTTGCATCACGCCCTTCTGCCCATCCAGCACAACTTTAATGTTACTTTAACATGGATTGAGGTATCTAATATTAGGTGTAGTTCCTGTCCAGCTATCTAACTTGTTCTGTGATGACACTGCCAGTTCCTACAGTATAATTATTGGGTAACACTGTCCTGGGCAAATGGGCAAAATGAGCTGGATTTGAACCTTTAGAGCACTCATTACACAGTGTATAAAAATGTATTCTGTGCTTAGTGCTACTCCAGTACATTCTCTGAAGAGATGGTTCTTTTGCAGCAGTTTTTTACTGGAAGGGAGAAAAATTGGTTGGAATTTTACAGCTTCAACATTCTGTGCTTTGAAGTTGTAAAAATGACTTTCAGAAGAGCATGTTGTCATGGATTTTCTTGGAACTCACGTAATCTCTTTCCAGGAGAAAGACTGGAAGCCAAACACAAAGATACAGTTGCTACCATTAAGATGTATCAGTTTCACAAAAGGATGTGGAGTAGACAGCCACCATCCAGGGAGCTCCTCTGCAGCAGGATGCTGCATCTGCCTCAGATCCCCCTTGGAATCCACCTGTGTAAAGGAATGTTGTCTCTCTCAGCAGCAAATTCAAACCTTCTACATAAATAAAAAAGGTCACAATCCACAGATCCCCAATAGTTAAACAGTTCTATTCAAAACTCCAGGTCCTAACACAGCAGCTCTTCAATCCTTTGCAAAGGTCATCATTTCCCAGTCACCCACCCAAGAGTCACAAACCACTAGATCCCAGTTCCTTTAGCCCCTGTTCCAGGTCCTGCTCTCCAAGAGCCACATCTCTTCTCCTGTAGCCTCAAGGCAGGTCTCCTGGGACAGAACTCTTCATAGCATCCCACAGAGCCAGGCTTTCTACCTGGTGAGTTCTACCCCTGATCAGGGAATGTCCCTCCAAGACAACTCCACTGCTCTGAACGCTGCTTCCTGCAGTCTTACACTGAGGCTTCCCCTACTGTTGTATTCACACAGGCCTCTCTGCCTGTAACCCCTATCCACAAGATCTACCTTCCAGCATCAATCCTTCTTGTTTTGGGATCAGCTTCTCCTAACCAGCCAGGTTCTTCCCCTTGCTCAGGTGCTTCTGCACAAGCTCTTCTTTAATTCCATAGGGTTCCCCTGCTCTGGTCAGGCCCTACCACTGACCTTTTGTTTCCAGTGGCTCTCTGCATAGCTCTCTACTGCTGCATTTCTCCCTATGTCTCTCCTGTTCTACTGCAGCTTGCATGTCCCTTTCTCTGCCTTCTTCAGTTAGCACTCTTGGGACCTCTGAGTCACTGGCTCTGTTTCTCCTCGAAGGTCAAAGCTGAGGTACCCTCTTTGAGTCTAATTGAAGATCAACTGACCAGTCACAGGTACGCTGGCCTCCTCTCTCTTAAAGGACCAGCATTTTTTAAGACTACAAGTGTTGGCTTTACAGTGGCACGTTTAAAAGGTGAGAGATGGAAGCATGGAGTAAGTAATCTAGAGGCAGGTAGTTGAGGGATACATGGCATGCTTCATAAATATGTCAGTCTCTCAAATCAGTGTTGGCTAAAAATACAAATTACAGAAAGTGAGCACAGGATTTTTTTGCATCACACACTTCTGCCCCTCTCCCCCCTCTTCCTTTTATGTAATACCTACTAGCTTACCGTACATTGCAGTGGTGGAAAGAGAACCATTTCAGACTAGAAGAAGATGCCCGGTGTCACCGATTCCCAGTCTGAGCATGTATTCCTCTAGCCCCTCCATTGAAGTCAATGGGAATTCTCTTCAAGGAGACACTGAAGGACAAGATTCAGGAGCAGCTACTGTTTGGAAACACTCATTGTAGCATTGTTGTTTGGAGAATTGTTTCTTGAATCCATACTCCTGCTCGGAAGACTAGAGCATGCAGTGTCTTGGTTTTGGACACACTTTTAAAGTCACATCAGTTCTCTACTGAATTAACTGAGTGTTAGATGAAACAACTCCAAATCTCACATATGAGCTAACTCTGAGATTTGAAACACTCCAGCTCCTACAAAGGGAAAACTTCAGCATGGAGGTGCCAAGCCAGAGCCCAGCACAAAGAAAACTGGAGCCCAAGTGATTGGGAAATTGGAGGTTTCTCTAGAGGCTTTCAGGGTCACCAAGGTGTTTTCATGCTGGAGAATATACAGAATTGCTATTGGTTAAGGGGGGTTTTGGGGCTGATGCCTGACTCAGAAATGCATATAATTCTCTGTGAATGTCTGATGTGAACACAACTCACCACTTGCTTCTGCACTAAAGCCTTTTATTGTTCTGTATAGATGGATGATACTGGATTGTACAAGGTAATAATTATTGATCAAGACAATGACTATGAGTCATCACTAGAACAATTTCAGCGCTGCACTCTTTGTTATGGTAAGATCCATATGTATTAGTGAAAAAATGCTATTATTTAGTGCTGCCTGGCAAAGAACATGAGAGAGGCTGGCAAAAAGTTAGAAAAAGCATTGTTGTTTCAAATAACCACAGCTGAATTTTCTGGCTTTATTTCTTCTTCACAAGATAACTCCTAAAAGGAGGGAACTTCCCAGGGAGTAGTGTGTTGAATCATGATTTACAAGCAATAGCTTCTGCCCACTGTCTGTACTGCCAAATTTTTCATAGGAGACAATGTACTCAAATGCATAAAAATGTTTAAATCCTTCACATGCTTCAGCTATTATATTGCTAAACAGCAAAATTACTTGCAAGTTAATGACCTAGTGACTATTTATATCCATATAAGAGGCCCTTCTGCTATCTGCCATCCAAGGTCAATGTCTAGTTGGGTAAAAATAAAAATCTAGTGAATTTAATTATACAGTCAAGTTGGGGCCAATTAATTTAATTGAAACAAGCCGTGTTTCCAGCTTCCAGAGGAAGGCTCCCTGGTGAGCAGCTCTTCCAGTGCCCCAGATTGTGTAGAACAACTTCCTCTGGAGGTTCCAAAGTAGCCTCCACAGAACGTCAAGGGGCGGGGGCTGCTTTGAAAACCTATGAGCTGCACTAAAAGACTGAGTGGAATTGCTTGAATGAATGCATGAGGAACTAAGGCCAGTTGCAGCATTCCCTACATTTCTGATAAAGTTGTCATGTGCTTGGATTCTTGTATATCCATATAGAGGGAGTTCAGGGGAGGCTTTGGCCTTAGGGTTCTGCTTTGCTGGAGGTCACTCACCCCTTGATAGATAAAGCTCCCCAGCAAGCAGGTCGTGGGCAAACTGTACCATCCCTTGGAATCAGGCAACCTGCTCAGTCAGGCATGGATAGAAAATAGGGGCATGGCCCTGACTCCTCCTTAGCCTTCTCCATCTACTTTGGGGGTGTACACAGAGAGCAACCTGCATTCCCCTGAATGCAGGGATCATGATTGTCCCCGGGCCTTGCACGCTCTGTTCCTTGTGCTGCCCACTATCTCAGTGTGTTCACATTAGGCCTCAGGACAGTCTGCTCCTGAAATTATCCTTGGGAAATGTAGAATGCATGAAATATCAGCAAAGCTGACACATACTGCTCAGTCTGACTCCAGCAACTCACCCGTCTTCACATGTAGTGAGGCATTTTTTAATGTTTTTCTATAATGCTTAAAGACATTTTAGGAGGTGGCTGTTACAAATTTTCAGTGTACATGGCATCTTATTCCATTGGAAAGAAGGGGTAGAATTTGGTATGTAATTCTGAAGGATACTGCACACCTTTAAGCGTTCAGGGGGTATGAAGCATCCAACCTGATCAAAATAGGGAAATCTACATGAAACACTCTAGCACTCAAAGTGGGTTTTTTTGAACAAGACATGTCTGATTATATTTTTAATTCAAGGCTACTACATATACTTGTTTTCCCAAATAAGAATTCCGTGATAATTTCTAATATAATTCCAATGTATGTTGTGGTACAAAGACCTTAGAAGAGAATTCCTTATATATTTAGAGCCTTGTGTTTTAGGAACGTATTGCAAAGTTGCTTCTGGCTCAAAATTTGCATCAATCTAAATATTGCCACAAATGTCCCCAGTCTCCCAGACCAAGAGAATGGAAGAGAATTTTTAAGGTTAATGAGGTCTAATCTTGTGAGGAACAGATTATGGCACAGGATCAGGCCCTTAGCTTTCTGATTTTAACTATACATTAACTTTTACAGACGTAGTAGATTGTTGTTAATATTGTACGGTTAAGCTCTTTAATCCTCTCCGGAACTGGGAGCTTAGATGACATTTCTCTTGTCACATTTTCAGTATCTTAAGAAGGGAAATGCAAACCAATGTTCTGTTTATTTACAGACAAATGCAAACCAGATGACGTTTGCGAACGCCGCATCTCCCGATCACCACGGACATATGTGGACACTGCTTTCATTTTGGACAGCTCCCAGAAAATGAGCGGTGCTGACTTTGCGAAAGTGAAAAACTTTCTGAGCACAGCACTTGATAACTTTGACATTTCTTCCAACCCAGTTTCTTCCATCGGCGATAGGGTGGCTGTGGTGAGCCATGCGCCACCAGATTTCAATCCCCGCTCATCGAGGAGGAGCCCTGTAAAGGAAGAGTTTAACTTTGTCACCTACAACAGTAGACAGTTAATGAAAAGACATATCCAAGGATCTGTGCAACAGCTGAATGGACCTGCTGCTCTTGGCCATGCCATACGCTGGACAATTGATCATGTTTTCTCACCTGCACCCCACCTCAGACAACACAAGGTTATCATTGTTATATCGGCTGGAGAAACAAGTCAGTGGGACAAAGAAACGTTAAAGAGTGCATCTCTGAGAGCCAAGTGCCAAGGATATTCTCTGCTTGTAATTTCATTAGGACATGCATATAACCACAAAGAATTGGAAGAGCTGGCTAGTATTCCCACGGAACAGCATTTAATTGAACTGGGCAGAGTCCACAAGCCTGAACTTGACTATGTAGTGAGGTTTATGAAACCATTTGTGCATCTCCTCAGACGTAAGTTATTATGTGAAAGCTATTTCATTGGTCTTCAATGAATGTCCAGCACCCTTGGGTAACAGTCTTCCATAGATCCAGAAACACATTTAGCATAGAGATTTCAGTTCAGGTTTCCTATTCCAAAGTCCCTCAGTTCTGTGCTCAATGGGTCAATTTAAATACATAAAGGGTGAAAAGATGGTTTCATTCCATGCTTGTTCGTTCTTAAGGCTGTCTAATAAGACTATCAACTTTGTTGATCTCAATAGGTTTTATGATGGGAAACCTGTCATCTAGGAATTAAACTAAGGCCACCAGTCTTACTTCACATAGATCACCCAACGACTATTGTCAGATCTCAGTGACTTTAGATCACTTCTAGCTTCTACGCAGCTTGGACCAGTGACCTAGGCTGAGAACTTGATATCCTATTAGCAGTTCCATACAAAATGCTGGCCTAGTTAGTAGATCAGTAAGTGATATGTCAGACAGTTTGTTGTGCTCTTTGGGTCACTTGGATACACATCAGAAGAACCTGCAGACAGGAGATGGATTTAGTACAATCTATGTTGCTTACAATCTGCAGCAGCCTTTGTGGACTCATTGATGGAATGATGCTAGAGGAAACTACGAAGCATAACTGGAGCTCCCGTGCCATTGTTCTCATTCTACTTCTCTTTTTCTTTCTTTCAAGGAGTCAGCATTTTAAAACTGTACGGGGAGGCGGGGCAGAGCTGATTTGGGAGTGGTAGTATGATAGAGGGTTAATGATGGACATTGAGTAGTTCTTTGGTTTGCGGACAATTACAATGGCCTTTGAAGCAGCTCGGTCTGCAGTCAGAGACCAGGGGGCTACATTCTTCCTTCCCTCCCCCTCTCCAATTTCCTCTTCCAGTTTTCACCAAGGTCAATAGAGCGCCGCACATTGATGACTAGGTAAATTCAGGGAGGATAAATCCATCAATGGCTATGAGCCCAGATGGGCAGGGAGGGTGTTCTTAGCCTCTGTTTGCCAAAGGCTGGGAGTGAATGGCAGGGGAGGGATCACGTGGTGATTGCCTGTTCTGTTCAGTCCCTCAGGGGCACCTGGAATTGGCCACTGTCAGCAGACAGGATAGAGGACTTTTGTTCTGACCCAGTGTGGCTGTTCTTATGCTTACACCATTCCCTGTGATTTTTGTAATAGCCTAGCTGTGATACCCAGAAGTAGTTGTGTTACATCCAAACAGAAAGGCCATCAAGCTACCTCCAAGCCCTTGCAAGCTCTGCCAGTAATGCGTCTTGCTGCTGGATGAATGAAGTCCGTCTTGGTAGAAATACACGGGGGCAGAAGAGGAAACAGCGAATGAAAACTGTTTCAAATTGAATTGAGTTGGTACATTTTGTTCTAGTGTTTTGTTTTCTCAACAGGTGCAATCAATGAATATCCACCAGAAGAGCTCAAGAGAAATTGTACCAGAATCAGGTCTCATGAAGTTCTGAAACCAGAACTTACACCAAGGCGTGAACAAGTTCCGTGAGTCCAGACATTTATTTTCTTATGGTCTGTGGTTACTTATGGGCTAATTGATGAGAGCACCTAGATGTTCTCTTGGGTAGCCCTGAACCTGCAGACACGCTTCACTTTACATGTGAGTAGTTCTGTTGGTCAGTAATTTTGGGTAATTTTCATGAGGCATAAGGGATCGGTCGGTAAAGACTTCCCCAGCCGACAGATCCGCGTCTAGACTGCCACACTGTGCTGGATCAGTTGATCGTTGGTATAGCGTGGTGGCCATGTTTATTTTAATGAAGCAGGGATTATTTAAATCCCTGCTTCACTGACTATGCCGGGTAAACTAGTTAACATGGCTCCGTCGACAGAGCCATGTAGTCTAGACATACCCTTTGTGTTCTGCCATCAATGTCATTTTAAAAAATTGAAAACTGTATAGAACCACAAAAAATTTAAAAGCTTATAATTTGTGCACCTGGCTTTATAGTCTTCTCCTATCCATTTCCTGCCTGTCCTATAGAACTCATCCGTGAAAGCATCACCTCTCTTATGCCAGTGGTAGGATTTTTTGGGGCTACATATGGTTTCAGACTGTAGTTCATAGCAGGCTGTGGTATAAATGTGCCCATCCCTATTCTGCTTCACACTGTGTGGACCATGCTGCTGCACATTAACAATTCATTTTATTGTGCTTTGAGCTACCCACTAAGTGCATTAGAGAACTCTTAAGAGCACAACAGCAGGGCCCGTATGGCTACTTACTGCAGGGCAGGGTAGGATCATAGCTCAGCTTGCTGCAAATGGTGAAGACAAGCCTTTATTGACATGTGAATACCGTTGTCCATGAGCGGTTTTAGTTAAGACTTGAACATAAGGAAAAGGGCAGAAATTTGAAATGAAGTTCGCTAATTCCAGTTCCTTTTGAGACCTCCTGCCAAGCCAAAATGTTCCCTGTTCTTCTATCCCCAGCCTTCTCGGAGAAGACGACGTGTCAGGAAGTGAGGTCATGCTTGGGGATGAATTTATTGGTTATGAGCCTTCAATACAGATGTTCCAGGATGATCTAATGGTCCTCTAAATGTCAACGTTTTTGCAACCAATCACATCAATCCTTGGTACCTATGGACATAATGGAGAATTCTGCCAAGACACACAGAAGGAAAGAAAACATGAGTCATGTCTGATGGAAGTGGAAAGAAAGGAAGATATCTCCATAATCCCTCACTGAACAGTGGGGACAGTTTAACCTTTGGATCCCTCTGGATAACTTCCCTCACACATCTTTAGAATATATTAGAACTAAATATACCAGCTCTTCTCTGTCTCTTCCTCCTCTTCCACCCAGCAACCTAACTTCTTTCCTGTCCTCTGTAAACTCAGCACACCAGGACAGAAAGAGGGTCTGTACACAAGCAGGCACTTTCCTGTCACCATTCACCACATTTGTCAATTAGCCTCTAGCACAGGGCCATGGAACTATGAAACAGCTATTCTAACTACCTGCAGCTATTCTCCCCTGGTTGATTCCCAATGTGAGATGGGGCAGGACTGGTAGCAGTGGAACAGGCTCTTATGTGACTCTGCCTTGGCCGCCTCCTACCCCAGACCTAGATCTTCTCAGGGAACCACACATTCTCAGCAAAATGTGAAGACCTGTCCCACTTGAACTGTTGTGACCAGAATTAACTAACATTAATGATGTGAACATGATCAAATAATCAAATGGCACCAAGCAAGAACGTGTAGGCTCGTGTATTATAAACATAGTTAGGATTTTGGTTGGATTTGCAGTCACTGCAGTTTACTGGTTGTGTTTCCAGAATGCCATGAAGAGCGCTGTATGTAAAGTCTCATGGCTGAATATTATGGCAATTGGAAGTGGAAATAAACATATTCTTGGAAAATATTGAGCATATTGAAAAGCAAAGGGCTAGTCCTGCTTTAACTCCCTTAACTACAATGCTTCATGCATACATAGTGCAGTTCAGCTGATGGTCTAAAATGCTCTATGGGAGCAAAGACTTATTTGGATCCAATTAGGTTACAGCTAACATAGTTAAACTTGGCTACCTGGAGTTAAGCATATACATAAATGACCTAGTTTTCACTGCTCTTTTGCAGAAATACTTGTAACGGAAAAACTTTTCCGTTAAAAGTATTTCCGCAAAATCATGCCAGTCTTGACACAGCCCAGATGTATGTTTCTCTCTCTGCTGGCTCGGGAGGGGGCAGAGCTGTGAGTGTCCCATGCTGTGAGCTTCCCTCTCACTCCCTGAGAGTGAGGAAAGGGAACAGAAAGCAGCATCCTAGCGAGAATATTGGGGGAAGGCTTGAGCCCCCCACACTCTCCCTAAATAGCTCCCTTGCCTCCACATTCCCAGCTCCTGCCCTGACTCTTGCACCCCCCCCCCACATCCTCACCCTAACCCCACCCACCACAACTCCCTGCCCTGAATACCTCCGACCCTTTTGGAGAGGTGCATAGTACATGCTCAGGCTATGTATGGCAAGAGGCAAAGATCGGGCCATTGGTCACTGTTTTGGAAAGACACAGTCTACCTTCATACAACACTGATAGGAAAGAAAATAAAGCATGTCTTTTCAACCCTCTGTACGGACAGTTTCATCGTCATCACACAGACAAGGAATTGCTTGTTTGTTTTACAGATGTCTGGAACCAAACACATTTTAAACAATGAAACGATTAAATATGGCAGTGGGGCTGAAGAAACTACCTATGCTGCATAGCTCCGACCTCTAAAAATTCCCATATTTGCCCCCGACAATGATTTATTGACTGTAATCATAGAAGCAATGTGGACATAATCTGTCAGCTATAGAATCATTTGATTCCTTTAAAAATAAGCATTGTTATTTTAAAAAACTTGACTATGTCCATCCATATGCCTCAAAGGGTCTGTGGCTCTGTAGTACAGAATGTGCTCTACTCCCATTTGTTTCAGTGGAAAGTGAGGACACTATGAAATTAATAGGGCCGGGCCCTTGAGAAACCGTCTCGTTCCCAGGTCTGTTGTGCTTTGTGAGAGGCATCAGTGGGTGTAACGCTTCTCCTTCCGTGCACAAAGTGGAGTGCAAATTCCTTACAGTGATATTTTACTTTCCATACTCCTTTTACAGGTGTAAGTTGCATTACAGGAAGAAGGCTTATCAGTCAGTGCTGTGCTTTTCCAGATAGAGTAACTATTTAATTGGCGACTGAATTATTTCCTTTAGATTAGGGGTGGGGAACGTACGGCCCAGAGGCCAGATATGGGCCCTGGGTTGCCTAGATCTGGCCCCCACGGCTTAAGGCCTCCCCCCTCTATTGGGAAGCCCATGTTAGCACTTGAGCTTGCTCTGCCCTCCCCCAGTCTCTTACTCTCAACTTATTTTTCTGTGGGTCACCAGTCCCTGGCTCAGAAAACATTCCCCATCCCTGCTTTAGATCAAGGAGCACTCTAAAACAACAGTGAACATCTAACAGGAAGCATCTATTGTGCTTTAAACATAAGGCTTGTAAAAAGAAATTTTCCAATGTAAGTTCTTTCCATCAGAAAATGTTGATTCCATGGAATTGAAGCATTTCACTCGATTGTGTCTATTCCATCAAGTTTTGATGGAAACCAAAATGACTGGCTGCTGCTGGTCTGGCCAGCATGCCAGTCTAGAAGTTTTCAACAGTGTCTATTCCACAGAAAATTCTGTATTTCCAATTCCTTGTTCTGATTTGAAACAACAATTACGGGTTTTATGGGAGAAAACTTTCAGTTCTTACACAAATGTACTTGTATAGTGACAAGTTTACTATATACCTTCTATCACTATGCTAGCATCATACGGAGCTATTTAATGTGTGTTACACAGCATGTCAAGGTACCAATTAAACTATCCACTTGAAACTTCATATGGCGTCTTTTTTCATGTAATCAAAATAGATAAAGACAATACTCGGTGCTACTCCCATGGGACCTTAGGAACAAGACCAGAAGTGGTGAGCATGGTGGGAGATCCTTGTTCTTTTACAAGTCAATACTTACATGCAAGAGCCCACATGGCCTATTCATGCAGCAGGGAGTTTTTAGATATATCACAAGCAGACAAATCATATCATCACTGTTTTTGTGAAAAAAGAAGGGTATAACAAAACATTATGCATCACTCGTTCTGTGGCTTACATGTTCATTACAGTGGAAGTATGTGGGGAGTAGCAAGAAGTGCTTAAAATGTTTTTTTTCCTCCTGCAAAATATCACTGGGCTTTCAATTCTCGTTAATATAAAATGCTCAGTAAATATGGTGAAATTGCCCTGGAACTGTGATACAGTGAAGCAGAAACCTGGCAGGTTTCAGTAGACAAAAGGGCCAATAGATATTGCAGACAAAACTACTGTGCAAGTAAGCTCATATGGGGTTTATTCTTTGATATCAACTATATATTAATCAGAGTATACATGGACATTAGTGCAACAAAATTTTCTTCTTCCAGATTCAATGTAAGAAAAAATATCAGGCTTCATAAATACTGTCTATGTAGGAGTCAGCAGCTTTCATTATGTTTATAACCTGCAATGTAATATTTCAAAAACTGTTTTATTATAGGTTGCCGAAGAATGGTATGGTTACCACCACACTAACCACTACTTCTTCATAAACTGCTTCTGCTTGTTACTTTCCGAAAGTGTTACAGAAATCAAGCAGCTGTAATAAAATAACTGAAAGGGCCTTCAGACAAGTCTTAATAACCATACTGATTGATATATGGTCATCTTCATATTCTTCAGAGTCAGCATAATTCTATTATTTATTTCAAATATTTACATATTATATATTAGTGCAATCTTTACTTCCACACTTTAACAATTCCATCTCTTGATGCAGTTACTATAAAACCTTGAGTAGTCTGGAAAGTAGCAATGTCTGTGATGATATCATGGTGTCCAACTGGTAGAGATTCTGGTCCCCGACGAGGGGTCTCATCTGTAGGGCCCAACTTCTGTTTGTTTTGAATTTCCTGTTTGAGAGTGAAAATATTAAAATAAACAAGTCTCCAGTAGTATATGAATTTAACAGGACGTTTCATAGTCTGGCGACTAGAAAGACCATTACAAATCAACATAAGTTTTCCTTTGCCAAATGTTCTCCTCCTATTACTGAAACAGGGGTGTGTGTTTAAGGCCGTGTGTACACTACAAGGAAAATCACTGCTGCCATGATCAATCTTCAGGATTCAATTTAGCGAGTCTAGTTCAGACTCACTAAATCAAACTCAGAGGATGCCCTCACCAGCATCCGGTACTCCTTTTGTGAGGAGTAGGGAGCCCATGGGAGCATGTACTCCTGTCAGCCTTACTTTGTGAGGATGCCACCAACCTCAGCTTAAGATAAACTGACTCCAGTTACATATTAACCACAGCTGGAGCTGAGTACTGCAAGCTGAGCTGCTGAGTCTACTGTAGAGTTGGCCTAAAAGCCCTTTTCCTTAACAATCTAGCTTCTTGATCCTGAACTAAAGTAATAATTCTGTATTAGTAGATAGGGGAACAAGATAGGTATCTCAAATTCAGTATTACAACTTCAGGAAAGGAAAAGCTGATGAGAGAAAATGTATGCTTAGTCATCTTCATGGAAAAAAACCCTATGGAAAAGAACCAGCCCATCTAGGATTTTTAAACTAATAGTTCTGTAGCAGGGATATCAATTGTTAAATATTATAGAAGAATCTATTCAAATTCCACAGATTTTTACAGTAATCTTTTGAGAATCTACCAGTTTTTCCTAATTATGTAGGATTTTTTCCATACAGAAAAATTCTCATAAAATTGGCTTAAAGGAATAAAATAAATTGACAGCTGATTTTCTATATTAAAGAAATTTATAAAAAATGCTCCTTAATAGAAATCTCTTAAACGCCATGTATTCAGTTAAATAATCGATACAAAACATTACAAAGCCAAATATAAAGCAGTAAATCTGTAACTGCTGGAAGTCATTTTGAGGGATACAATCACAGCAGAAATCTGACATGAAAACATTCCTGTACTTTTCGGATGTGATTTAAGTTGTGCTTCGACTGTTTTTAATTATCCCATAAGGAACAAACAGCGTACTTACAGCACTGCATAAATAATTTGTGTACTCAACCTCTTGCAGGACAAATTCCACACTAATTGGGTAACAGTTTTTAGTGGAAATGCCTCAATGTCCAGAAAGTCAAAATATTAAACTGTTAAATCTCTGAGTTCCAGGATCACAAAAGTCAACCAAAGATATCAGGTTTTCCCAATGAATACTATTCGTTAGTATTGTTTGTCAAAACAAGCACTATTTGGGTTTAAACATTATTGCTGCCTCTGAAATATGACCTGTTGAGGGACTGAAGTCATCAATGCATAGTAGTAGTAAGTAGAGGAACCAGAAATGAAAGTGTTCCTCTCCTCATACTGGTGTACTTGAACACTGGCCTGGAGAGGCAATTAAAAAAACAAAACAGAACAGAATACCTGAACCACTTCTGTGCCTTCAATTATCTTCCTATAGTAGGATACCAATGGGCAATTGGCACTTCCTGCAACAATGTATGATCTCTCAGGGTAAGCCATCTCCCAAAATCTAAGAGAGTGAAGGAAAAACAAACAAAACAAAAACATGCATAAGCCAAAGAAGGTAAGAAATGCTTAACGGTGGTAGGTCTCAATACAACTTTGTAAGAACTTTCTTCCCCTGGTAAAAATCAGACTAGACTTTATAGGCTGAAGGGAAGAGTTACAAGTTATAATTACAGAAAATCAAAGTTAATCATATTTGTTCACAGGGCATCACTAATTGCTGCATCCAGCACAGCATATCTAGCAGTTTACAAAGGCTCTTATCTCCATTTTGCAGATGGGAAAGTGAGACTCGAGAAGTTAAAGACACTGGTCTAATGTAACAGGCAGCAATAACGAGGAATAGAAGGCTATGTCTACACTATGAGACTATTTCGAAAGAAAAATTCCTGAAATAACTATAGGGAAGCCTCAAAATTAATCCAAGGCAGGCTCCCTTAATGTGGATACGCTACCTCGACTTAGAGCCCAAGGAAGCACCGGAG